TGATACCGGTCATTGTATGAGTGTGGCGCAGTGTGCAAACATCATGTTCCATTTTCTGTCTGGAACTTGGCAAGGAGGAAGCACTGGCATCAAAATCAAGTCTAATTTAACTTCTCAGTTGTGCGTATTCTCGAGAATATCCGGCTCTTTTATTTCACTGTCTGACGCCTGACGAGAATACCCCATTATTAGTGCACCGTCACTGTTGTATCTTGCGGTGGCGGTGCCGTCTATGGGTTACGCCTGCACTGAGCCTGCCAGACTGCGCGATAGGGAGAAGACAGACAACTGGGGACACGGCTGTATTGTCAGGACAAAACATACAGAGCGTCTGCGTAAATATATAGGATGACTAATTGGCCAAATGTGGTCGTTCACTTGTTCGTTCCGTACAGCCAATGGTGATGTTCCGGTCGTGAACATTCTCAGGCCCACAACGCTGGTCGTGTGTTGCTAAGACGTGTTTGGTGGGAGCCGCCAACTCACCTACTTTCCGGACGTGTCGAACCGATGTTGACCTTGGGGATGCGTCACTCTCTGCACATGTGCCTTTTCTTCTGTCTGAGCGCGCCCTGAGAGTCACGTTCACCAGAACACTCCACGTGAAAAGCCAAACACGTCCGAATTTAAGTAGTGTGTCTTCCTGACGTTGTTCCTATAATCCAAATTCTTGATTCGTTGCCAACTCCACGATTTTATTCTTTCTGCAGTCGTTTTAATCACCAACTTACGACACCAAACCAAGTTGACCAAACCAAGCTGCGTCCATTTTCGGCGGGAAATATGAAGTGCCCAAACAATTCACATCGTTATTGCATAAAATCGAATCAGTAGGCATAGATAGGATTTCGATCAAAGTTGAACATGGGACCAAGTGTATACATTTAAGGTCATATAGATACCTGACTAAGCTCAGAAAGAGCTTGCCCAGCTGAACTGTATCACCGTATCGCATTTTTGTACAGTCTGGATCTATTGGGAGTGTTTTGATGGAAATCAAAACGAATACACAAAGTTTGCAGAGACTAGTTTCATTTTTCCTCATATTTAGACTCATGTCGGTAGCTGCCAAATTTCCTTTCGGTTTTTTTTCAATTTGAGGTCACTCGCAGGGGATTGAACATACATGTTTTATCAAATGTCACAAACCCATACAAACCCATGAGAGCCTGAGTGAGATAGGACATTCTGCTTAAATCGGACGGAACTTACTAAATCAGATTGTACCCTCGACACCTGCTCACTGCAAACGACTCAAGCATGGGGAAAATATCCGTTGTTTATTTTGGCTACGGCTACGTTTACAATTTAAGTGTGGTAGTCACCCTCCGAAAGTCTTGATTGATTTGAACATACCTTTTTCGCCCGGGGAAAGCAAGTCGCTTGAAGGCGAATTTGCACACGTGACAAATTCATCCATTATGATGTTTTCGATGACGGCAAACTCGAAACGACTCGTATTTCTTAACTTTGCAGATCAACGGCAGATTTGATCTTGCTCAGTATTTGTCCCAGCTCATCAACCTCTGGGATGCGTTCAATGAATACACGGTTGTACCAGTGGAACAGTTGATGCAACAAGCATGGATCGATACGAAGATCTACACAGACCTCATAGTCTACTTAATCACAGTCGGTGGGTTTGTAGCCCTGATCGTCTATCTACTCGTCATCTTGATCCTTCTTGTCTGCCTGGGGCTTTCTTTGAATGACACGTTCGCACGCCGGCTTCTTTCTATCCAAGGTGAGAATAACCTACTTTGGTATTACTTTCGAGTAAACAAAACTGGCATGCCCACCACTTCTTCAGAATGCCGAATTCCGTGAACAATACCAATCAATCAATCAATCAATCAATCAATCAATCAATCAATCAATCAATCAATCAATCAATCAATCAATCAATCAATCAATCAATCAATCAATCAATCAATCAATCAATCAATCAATCAATCAATCAATCAATCAATCAATCAATCAATCAATCAATCAATCAATCAATCAATCAATCAATCAATCAATCAATCAATCAATCAATCAATCAATCAATCAATCAATCAATCAATCAATCAATCAATCAATCAATCAATCAATCAATCAATCAATCAATCAATCAATCAATCAATCAATCAATCAATCAATCAATCAATCAATCAATCAATCAATCAATCAATCAATCAATCAATCAATCAATCAATCAATCAATCAATCAATCAATCAATCAATCAATCAATCAATCAATCAATCAATCAATCAATCAATCAATCAATCAATCAATCAATCAATCAACAATCCAATCAATCAATCAATCAATCAATCAATCAATCAATCAATCAATCAATCAATCAATCAATCAATCAATCAATCAATCAATAATCAATCAATCAATCAATCAAACCAAGAAACAATTATTCAATCAATCGATCGATCGATCGATCAACCCACCAATGAATCAATAAACACTTCGGGTGAAAAATGTAATCATGTCCTGAGAATCTGCTCAAAGGGAATTGAGTCAGAATCGGCAGCTTGGAGTTGTAACGTAATTAGGCACCAATAAATGCCTGTTTTACCAGAATGACAACGATTACAGAAGTTATGTGCACCTGATGAAAATAAGAACAATTCAAGAAGGGAATAAGCCAAAAAGTGACTTCTTTGAGGACAACTTTTCAGAGTTTCTGAGTGGCGTTCCGGACGCTGGACGTGTCTTCTCTGGAGTAGGGCCACCACACGTGTCCCGTAGTTTTCCGTAGAGTTTTGTGGAGATTGATTGAACACCAACGAAGCTTGGTTAGCACAGATGGAGCAACTCCAACACCAAGATAAACGTCGCATGTCGCACTGAGTTGAAGGTGAGTTTCACAACGGATATTTCAAAGAGCGTGTTATTTTATCGGAAAAAAGGCATAAAACAAGAACTACAGAGGGCGCCTGTGAAGTTGGCTGTCTGATTCAACATCTTCTCATTTGTTTAACAGTCATTCTTGCTTCCTTTGCTATCGCAATTACTCTAGCGGGTCAGCTTCACACGTGGAGGAAGTCGGGGAAGAGCATCACAACTATTACGGCTGGGAACCAACCATCCAAACTTTGGAAATAAGTGAATTCGATAACCGGCAGTATGGTCTGTACTACTCCGTAGAATAGACAAGAACTAATGAGCACATTTGAAGAACCAATTACGCCTGAAGGGTATCTTATTTGCCCAACGCCTTTTAAGACAAAAAGCAACTCTACCGAGTGGGTCGGCCTATCATATAATCCCACAGATGAGTGAAACATGCTAGAAAAGTCCATTAGACTGATTGTGAGTACATAAATAGTCCCTTGTTATCTAGAAGACTGTTGTCGAGGACAATGACAGTGAGTCCCACTTAAATAGAATTTCATTCGCGGGCCCCCGAAATGGGGTAACCTTCTTACTGTATGCCACAAAAACTCTTTGGGTCGTTTCGTGATGAAAGACAGAGACAACCATTAGCAGTCACTCAAACAAACTACACGGAGGTCAGCCGTCCCTAATAACCGAACACCACATCATTTGGGCTGATGTCACGTGCAGAACACGAACCAGACGAAGGCGCGCTGTGATTGATCAGAATGCCAGCCAATCCGGATCGAACATCTTTGACTGGACGTTTCTCGTCCCGCCACGGGGATTCTAGCACGACCTTGTGGAACACTCTGTGATTACCCCGTAAAAACATAAAGGGCTGTGTAGAGCTACCGTGCCTTTTGACACACCATAGTGGGCGGAACAGGAATCCGAGAGCCCGATACAGAGTTGCACTACCGTTCAGCAAGTCACAACACAAACACACTAAAATTTTTACCAGTCGATTTCAAAATGAGATAGCATCATCCACATATTGATGTTGGACAGTGAGCAAAAAGCTACTTGTCGATGCAGGTCCTCAGTTACTCTCTACAAAGGCTTCTACAGGCATCAACATAAAATAAAATGCACTAATGTTAGACCATAAAGTTTAGATTCTTAAAAAAAAGTGGAACGAAATTCCCGTGGAATTGTCATTAGAATCTAATAAACCAGCCGTGATCAGTCGTAATGTAGGTGCAAAGAGAGGTCCCTCATAGAATTCACTTCAAAGTCCTTGAGTGCCGTTCATCAGATGCAACCCTTCCCCTTGTTTTTCATCTGCAATAGTCGGTGCGCGGCATTTCTGAATGACCGATTAACTGCCAAGCTGCCAATCATGTTCCTCACATTGGACGAACGCAACAAGTCACAGGGAAGCTCTTCCAAGGTGGGATAATTTGGCGCCTTTTGTAGAACTCTTGAAACAATCGGAAACTTTATTTCTAAAGGTGTCCAAGAAAATCCAGGTGGATTCTTTCTTGTCCAAAGCAGAACGAAAACAGAGACAATAGAATATATCGCTGTCAATTTGTCGAAATATGCGTGAAAGGAAGAAGGCCTTCGCTGAGGAGTTATTAGAAAATGACAACTGAACGGTTACAGACTATTGGACAGGGAAGCAAAACTCTCATATGCAACTTGTTTACAAAATCTACATATCCATCCTCTCTTTGAACGCGTCTTCCCGAACTTTCCTGGATATTCATTGACTGTTGCTCAAATCCAAGCAAATGCTACAAAGCGACTCCACAAATTCCGCAAAATATCCCACTTTTCAAGAGACACAAAGCAAATTTAGGAGAAGACATACTACTAGCATGCATCCCCCATCAGTAGTATCACGGTTACATGGGTAGCTCGGGTGTGTTTACTGGTGGTAGATCAGATGGCAGAAAATATCGCTCTTCCAGACAGTATTCAGGGATATAATCATTGTGGTCAGCTGATACGTTTCAGATGTTATAAACGTATCATCACGAGACATTTAGGTCGTTTATCCATTTCAGTGAGTAAATTCTTCGTGTTCACGTCCAATACGCCGTTGGGTTGCGACACTTGTTTTTCAGATAGATTCCATAGATTCCTTTATGTCGATCCTGATTTCACTCCTTTTGCCTTGGGGAAGTGGGACTAAAAATCGTTTATCTCCAAATGGTTTTCGGGTGGTTGATCATCCCCATTACTATGCTGAAACGTTCTGAAGTAAAAATCGATATCTAGCTTGATGGCATCCAATCCAGCCTCATAGGCTTGGTTTCCAGAGCGCCGTGATCAGATGCTGTTACGTCATAAAGGATAGCCAGTGTTACTGACCAATTCGATTTGATGACGCTCACAAAAACGGATAAAAAAGTACATCTTCCGTCTAGATAGGACACATTCGTGAGGCCTAGGATCCTGTAACGTACGTCACATATGCGGAAACCAGGGAATTCAAAGCGGAGCAAAGCCACCGATACCTTTGTTTGACCTTCGATCAATTTGGGTAATGTCTTCATAAATGGGTGCTTTAGTTGGTCATTCAATAAGGAAGTTATTCTGACATTTTGGCTCGACTTTCGTGGATATACCTTCCAAAATTCCTGTGAACCATTCGGGCGACTCAACAGGTATTCGGTTGAGTCTTCCATTAATTCCACACTAGTGTGAACATAAGAGTAATCGGAAAATTTCTGATAATTTGGGTTCAAGTAGGACGTAAGATTCACAGAAACTTGAGAATCCAGCCCATATGATGAACAAAAATTGGGAGAAACCGCCCCTGCGCTGCCGAAGAATTTCCAGCGACTTTCTAAGTAGGTTCCTTCAGCAAAATTCCAGGCAATATGGTATGAATGTGAATATTCTCCAGACGAAGTCCCGTTTTCTATTATTGGTTACGATTACCATCCAATCAAAAGGTTCGCTTGGTGGGCCCGAAGTGTGAAATTCTAATGCTAATGTAGTTCGAAGGCATTTCATCGGTGGTAACGGTTAAACGCTTGTTGTTCACGAACACGCTTCATACTAGCTTCGGCAACATCTGGACAATACCTTGGTGCACGTTATCAACAGTAAACTTCACGTGTCCATATTTTTCACATGAAAATTACAGTGTCACAGTATACTCCAACCAAACATCCCTTTGATTCACTTCACTTCTCCTTTATCAGAGCTACTGTTGATCAACGGCACCGAACATCTACGAGTCAGTGCAATAGTGAAAAGCAAACCGATTTTTGGCGACAGAATCCCATTGGAGAAGTTCACCAGAGCCAAAGTCCACCTGCACGGTCTGTGCGTCAATTTGGGGATATTCGGCATGATATGCTCTCTCACGGTACTGATCTGCTTGGTCCTCATTCCTCCCCTGGCGTTAACCAACACCGAAGTTTGTTACAACCTGCAAGGAGAAACTGGCGTGGCGTTGACCAATCGTGTGGCGCAGCTGGTTTTTGAATACGAATGGCCAATATTTCTGAAAGATGGAAAGTTGCCCTCGTTGGTAGCCAGTATGCTTGTGGTCTCTGCACCCACCAACGTGCTCAGTGTGGTCGCTACAGACTGCAACCCAGCGCTTCCGGGAAGTTTGTCCACGGGACTTTTGGGAAAACTGGGTTACAAAGATATCTTAAATTTTACAGTGGTTCTTGAAGGAGATGAAGTCAAAAAGACGATAAGAAGTGCGGAAAAGTGAGTAAAAGCGTGCTTTATTTGTGCTTTTTTCGTCACGTGATATATATATTTCAGTGATGGTCGATCAAAAGGTCATTGATCCTTTCGCCGAGCTTGACAATTAGCTTGAAAAATTTCCCTCCTTAGTTGAGGTGACATCGTCAGTGCGTAGTTGATTGGGTGCTTCCTCCGTGTCTGACTGCGATTATATAGTTTCTGAAGAGTATCTAACATCCTGTTATTCGATTGGTTAGTTAGCATACACCTTTCTTGTAGTATTATTGGGACGATTATGATTTGCGCTGCGTTGTGGTCTGTGTGACTCGTATTCCATTGGTTGATCGGATGGCCGCTTTGGAGTGTTCTTTACAGAGCTAACTGACATACATTCTGCAAAACCGTACTACTGTAAACATCTTTATATACGTGTTTATTTGGAAGTCCATTCGCCCTTCACCCGTGAAATAGATTGCTTCGTCTGAAAGAGTCAAAGTTCTGATCATCTCATCAACGAATTCAGGAAATGTTTTGAAAAAATCATCGAATAACGGCAGCGGGTACTTTGAACTGGACCCCCGCGTTCACAGGAGTTCTTCTGAAACTGGAGTATTCATACGCAGTCAAATATATTCCACGCGTTCCAACGTCTCTTAGCTGTATCATTGTAACTCCATTTGGATACTAGTGCTGGCCCCAGGTAGGATTATCTACTGTCCAACTGTTGGTCCAAGGTCAATCTCATTGTATAATCCCTGAAGGGTTCATAATCGATTATCACATTCATGGAAAATAGATGTCGACCTTTACACACCTGTTTCCTGCAAGTGTTGCCCGGTTAAGTGAGTTCCCTTAGGCTCTCACGGTAGCTGTTTTTCGGTGCAGCCAGCCACACGGGAACAAGGTGTAGAAAGGGACTCACATGTGGGTGAAAAGAATGCAGGATTAGCTGTTACCAACCCCTCCTTTACAGTGGAACTCTTCACGCTCAAATCACCGTCGTTTAGACAGTTCGGCTAGAACAACGACCCAAGTGCCGACCTGATTGTGTCGATCGACTGACTGGCATGTTGTGATTTCCAAGTCAGACGGACGGTTCGAATCTGCACAATTTTGTGTTGGTTGTGGGATTCGCAGAATCCACTCTCATTTCACCGTAATTCGAACAGTCGTCTTCCTGTTCAGATATCTTTATTCTGTTGACTCCATACCAGAGGGCTGAAGAACTGGATTCGAGTTTCGCCCGTGTGAGACCTCGTCTGCAGTACTTTGGCCGCCCTGGGGTTCGAACTCCAGACAGCCGAAATACGACAGGAGGATGTTATAAATACTCTATGTGAATTGTCACGTGCGAACATTCGATCGTGTTCATGTTTGATCGGTGCAACTGGGCTCTTGCTGTCACTGGTGTTCCCACGTTTGATGTGTTTTTATGGTAGAAATTTGGGCATCAACTCTGATTGAGGTGATTCCTGATACGGATGAACTGTGGCTACTCCATTCACAGAGTTGTAGTAGTTCGGTCGAAAATAGATGAGGTCCTTTGAAACACATCGGTGTTTTGTCTCTCTTCCATAGACGTGTAAGGGAGAATATGATGTCTGTCGGTTCCATATTTCCTAAGCTAGCTTTAGGTGAGAATACAGGGTTGGTCTACTAGTAAAATCGGCGAGACGATCTCCATGAAAATAAATAAATCGTGCAGCTTAAGCACCCATTCGGTGCCTAGCTGCCATGCCACCCGAAGGTTGCACGAGGGATGGGATACTTCCAAGCTGCCTAACCCTAGACAGGGGAAGTCGAGAGGCTGAGGTCGGGTTCGAACCACGGATCTTCCGGCCAGTAAATTCGCGCTCTAACCACTTGGGCCATCCCGCTCCGATCCCCGGGTTAGTTGTCTCTCAATTCATAGTCTAAAAAATATATTTCAGTCGCAATCTTAGGCTATGTAGAATAAATGGTTTCTCGCGTGCGCCTAGTTTGTACATGAAATCAATGATCTCCAATTTAACACAAGTTTGCGCTACGTTTCATCTTTCTACGAAGCAAAAGGCATGCACTGGAGTTCTCGTCTTGTAAATGAAGCCAATCTATTCTGAAAAGCCTAGAAGCATTATAAAACTGTCTCATCCTTACTGGGGATCTTCAGTAGTGTGCATCCCGTGATACTCAAAGGGAGTTTCTAACCCGTGACCTCCCGGCATTAAGCTTCGCCACTGTAGTCATCGTCCTCGAGTAGCTCGTGATCATTTTGATTAACTCGTTCATAGACTTGTTCATCACTCACGGGATCTACATCACGTGATTTGACTGGTTTCTCGAGTGGCAATTTCTCGGACGGAAGTCGCTATCATTTTGTGAAATAATTTTTTTACAAGCTACTTATAGATAACCAAATTAATGCTTTGTGACTGACGGTCTACTTTACCCGAGCCATTCATACTAATGAATGCCTTTCAGTAACACGCTCCAAGAATTTCTGTCAAATTCTTTGTGAGAAGAATCTGATATCGTGGAAACTCCAATTGATTTGACAAAACCAGTTTTATGATTTAGATACAATCGGAGAACAGGCCTTTCTGAATAAACGATAGAACTGAACCTATGAAAGCGTTTTGATTTAATAAGGGGATATTGAAAATCAGCCAAGTTTTGGAATACATGACCAAACAATATTTAGCAGTGCTTGCAGGAGTTGTTCTAGATCGCAATGAAACTCGGAAAAGGTTTTGAGAGATCACAAAACCCGCAGTAATACTCTTCTGGTAAGATTTTCTCCAAACGTTATCACGTCTCGTTATAAAAGTGGAAAAACTTTACAACAAAGTTCAGGGCACCCTTTAGTGGTACAGGAATAGTCAACTGAGATTTGCTTGTTCGATCCCGGAGAATCCTGCCCGACAGAGCAGTACATCCGGTGAATGATCGGGCATGCTTTGAAGGCATTTCAAGAGGACACATTTGGAAGACATCGAATAAAAAGGGAAGAATGTGACCATATATTAGAAGCGAAAGAGAGTTTCCAGTATCCAGGTTTTTGAACCGAGGGAAACCAAAGTACAAACCGGTGCACAAACTACTATTCTTCTGTTATTTCTCTACATCTCACAATTGGTCCTTCCAACTACTAAATGCCGTTAGTCTCCCAGTCATTATGTGTATCAGTGACCACACTTCATGTTTGTCGTCTGAAAGGAAACTTTCCACATTTTCTCACAGAGAACTCGTCGACAGAATTAAAAGGATAGACTTCAACTCCTTACTGCCGGACAATCTGGGTCAATTCGCCGGTTTACTACAAAATATCACGCAGTACTTGGATAATGTTGACTACAAGGTAGGTACCAGTTTACTGTTTTGCAGACGTTACAAATATAGTCACAGAGGTCGGGTATTTTTTCACCTGTAAATAATTCCATACTAATCAAACTTGATAAGTGATCAGGTGGCTAATGATGTGTTCTCGGAGCTCGGCAAACGATTTGCAAAAGTTTTCGGTCAACATTCGAGGAAACATCTCCAGTGGTGGGTGGATTGTGCCTCTCTTCGTGCTTGCGATTATATAGTTCACAAGCAACATTTTTCGTGCTGTAACCCGAGTGGCCATTGATAATCATCGCACTTGGGTTCTGACTGGCCCGGTCATAATCTGTGTTGCGTTGTGATTTTCATTTCTTGCTTTCTAAGGCCACACCACTGTTGAAATTGCCGTCCATTATTCTACCTTCTGGTTGGTCCATTCGTGATCTGTATTGTGTCGTGTTCAGATTCCTTGTTGTGTGATTGGTTGAAGGTTTACGTTCTATTTTGAGGGTGCAGACTGAATAACCGTCAAAGGATTACCTACTTTTTTTATCCACTGGCTGAGTGTCGATTTTGGGCGTGCCTAAACTCATTTCAACTTGAAGACTGATCAGACTGACAGCTATGTGTTTAATAGAAAATAAGTGAAACGAATAAAACAGCGAATCACAAAATGTGCCGTTATTAAAATGACATTTTTCCAGAAAGCGACATAGGAAATCTGTCGCGTTGTTATTAGGAACTATGTCAAAAATCAATGTCGCTAAAAATCGGGCATTTTCCTCGACTTTGATTCTTCTGGCTGCGGAATGAGTTGGTTTTTAGTCCACCCTAATCATGAACTCCACAATTTTGTGCAACGTAATATGTCACGTAATGTCTGCTTCGTTCTTTTATGAATCAAGTATTCAGACCAGCACAGACGCGCCAATTTAGTTAAGGAGAACCGATCCATTATTCTTACGTTACCAATTACTTATAGACGACTCCGGAATTATTTAATTCCACATTCAGTTCACTCTCGTTTGAACGGTCCTCTCACTGACCTGGGACAAGTTTTCTGGCGATCCCACAACAAAAACCGGAATCAGCGAACTCGAGTCTCCTTCGAAGACGATGCATCATGTTTTGCAGTGCCGGGTCCTGAATTCCGGACGTCTAAAGTGCTGTACCACTACTCTATCTGTGCACGTGAATCCACTTGAGTTCGATGACTGAACACGTGAACGTGGTAATGCGTGTTGAATATGTGGGCTCACCAGAACAAACTGGGCCGGATAAGAAGGTGACCGTTCAAACGAGACTGATGTGAATGCCGGTTCTTGCTGATTAGTTTGCCACCGTGCGCCGCGGCAATCCGAAAAGGTGCTCGTAAGAATGAGTTTAGAGAAAACAGTCCGGTTTAGATCCTCCTTAACCCAATAGTTTGATTGGGCAGGTCGACCCATCACGTCAACGATAGTCATAACTGAGAGGTCTCCCATCTAACGACACAACGCTCACGTTCAGATATGAAAATTTAGCTTCATACAGTTGACCTTTGTTGAATAAAAGGTAACGACCTTTCTCAAACGTTGGTTAGTTTTCCAAGGTTAGCCAAGTTGATTACCACGCCTTGATTTTAAGCCTTTCTGAGTGGAAATCACCATTGTTAGAAGCACACATTATATGTGAACACATCTATCAGGATTGTTGAATAAACGCTTATATTTTATCTCTAGAAAAATAACTCTGCTGCGCTTTCTGTAGTTAAAAAACTTGTGCTAATAACGTTGACCTTCTAAGGGTCACGTCCCAAGTTGTTGGAGCAGTCAAATTATACATGTATGCATAATATATATATATATATATATATATA